AAGATGGTCTTTGCATCTGATGGAATGCTCAGTTTTCCCACAGCTTTTAGGCTTAGCAGACAAAACATCCACTAAGCCATTCAGTGCTGCACTTTGATACTGCAGGGTTTTTTTGTTTGTTTGTTTATTTATTTTTTGAGGTCAAAATCCACATTTTTATTGTTGCTGTATCACAAATTACTAAAGAATTGCTGATCCAAACTGCTCATTTTTTTTGTTCTAAGCACTAAAATTATCTTACAATTACTTTAAAAAATTCCTTTTAGATGAAACATTGGCTGTGGATTACAACAATGAAATTTCACTTTGCATATTCCATATAAACTTTAAGTTTATTCCCAAGTGGCTTTCTTTTCTTTTCTTTTTTTAACATTTTTTATTGAGTTATAGTCATTTTATAATGTGTCAAATTCCACTGTACAGCACAATTTGTCAGTTATACATGAACGTATATTCATGGTCACTGTTTTTTTTTGCTGTGAGCTACAAGATCTTGTATATATTTAACTGTACTATACAGTATAAACTTGTTTATCTTTTCTGCATATGCCTGTCAGTATCTACAAATTTTGAATTCCCAGTCTGTCCCTTCCCATCCTCCACCCCCTTGGCAACCACAAGTTTGTATTCTATGCCTTTTGTATTTATGTTTTTTGTTTGTTTGTTTGTTTTTAGATTCCATATATGAGTGATCTCATATGGTTTTTTTCTTTCTCTTTCTCGCTTACTTCACTTAGAATGATATTCTCCAGGGACATCCATGTTGCTGCAAATGGCATTATGCTGTCGTTTTTTTATGGTTGAATAGGATTCCATTGTATCAATATACCACTTCTTCTTTATCCAGTCATCTGTCGATGGACATTTAGGCTGTTTCCATATCTTGGCTATTGTAAATAGTGCTGCTATGAACATTGGGGTGCAGGTGTCATTTTAAAGTAGGGTTCCTTTGTGATATATGCCCAGGAGTGGGATTTCTGGGTCATATAATAAGTCTATTCCTAGTCTTTTTTTTTTTGATCTTTTTATTTATTTTTATTTTTAATTTTTTATTGATTTATAATCATTTTACAATGTTGTGTCAAATTCCAGTGTAAAGCACAATTTTTCAGTCATACATGAACATAAATATATTCATTGTCACATTTTTTTTTCTGTGAGTTATCATAAGATCTTGTGTATATTTCCCTGTGCTATATGGTATAATCTTGCTTATCTGTTCTACAATTTTGTAATACTGTCTATCCCTTCCCAACCTCCACACCGTCGGCAACCACAAGTTTGTATTCTATGTCTATGAGTCTATTTCTGTTTTGTATTCATGCTTTCTGTTTTTGTTTTTATTTTTTTGTTTTTGTTTTTAGACTCCTCATATGAGCGATCTCATATGGTATTTTTCTTTTTCCTTCTGGCTTACTTCACTTAGAATGACATTCTCCAGGAGCATCCATGTTGCTGCAAATGGTGTTATGTTGTCGATGTTTATGGCTGAGTAGTATTCCACTGTATAAATATACCACTTCTTCTTTATCCAGTTATCCGTTGATGGACATTTAGGCTGTCTCCATGTCTTGGCTATTGTAAATAGTGCAGCCATGAACATTGGGGTGCTGGTGTCATACTGAAGTAGGGTTCCTTCTGGATATATGCCCAGGAGCGGGATTCCTGGGTCATACAGTAAGTCTATTCCTAGTCTTTTGAGGAATCTCCATACTGTTTTCCACAGTGGCTGCACCAAAATGCATTCCCACTAGCAGTGTAGGAGGGTTCCCTTTTCTCCACAACCTCTCCAACATTTGTCATTTGTGTACTTTTCAGTGATGGCCATTCTGGCTGGTGTGAGGTGATACCTCATTGTAGTTTTGATTTATATTTCACTGATAATTAGTGATATTGAGCATGTTTTCATATGCCTAATGATCATTTGTATTCCTTCATTGGAGAATTGCTTGTTTAGATCTTCTGCCCAGTTTGGGACTGAGTTGTTTGTTTTTGTCTTACTAAGTTTTATGAGCTGCTTATATATTTTGGAGATCAAGCCTTTGTCAGTTTCACTTGCAAAAATTTTCTCCCATTCCGTAGGTTGTCTTTTTATTTTACTTTTGGTTTCCTTTGCTGTGCAGAAGCTTGTAAGTTTAATTAAGTCCCATTTGTTTATTCGTGCTTTTATTACTATTGATTGGGTAGACTGTCCTAGGAGAACATTTTTGAGATGTATGTCAGATAATGTTTTGTCCATATTTTCTTCTAGGAGGTTTATTGTATCTTGTCTTATGTTTAAGTCTTTGATCCATTTTGAGTTTATTTTTGTGTATGGTGTAAGGGAGTGTTCTAGCTTCATTGATTTACATGCTGCTGTCCAGTTTTCCCAACACCATG